TATGACAATAGTTTTGTTTTTTTATTAAGCGGTGCTTTAATTCGTCGAAGTTTATGAAAAATTAAGCTCCAGAAGCGGTTCATTCAAATACCGTACGTTACATAGAATTGTCGACAAATTTCCCCCAAATACACGACGTAAGGGGGAAAAAGCGACATTTCCCCTAAATAACCGACGTAAAGGCGAAAAAGTGACATTTTTACTTTATTTCCCCTTTTTGTGTTGCTTGGGTTATATGAATTTTGAACAGATAGCTAGGAACAAATCGTTAAACATGAGTGTATTCGTAAGAGACATGCTCTGGACTCAATGTTCTGATCTGTGGCAGACTATTTATTTATATTTATACTTGCCGGCTGATTGGTCATACAAGTTAGTTGCAAGTATGCAGTTTATCATAAGGCGGAATACGATTTAATTGAGATATAGTGGTTATAAGTTATTAAAATCACTTAGGCCTGTGTCATATTACGAAGTGATGTGAAGCTGCAAGATGTATTTAGCTAAATAAGTTTTTACAAGATGATTAATGGTGAGTGATGCTCATGTGATTATCAGGGAGAACATAAGTTGTAACCAAGGGGAGTACACTCCCAACTCATGTCTATGATAATGGCTTGAACCTTAGTCAGTGTTGGGGTAAATTCGACATTGATGTTTTCAGTTTGCAGGAGATTTGCTCGTCTGCTTATACTGATTATTTGCATGCATGATTGTGTCGCTAAACCATCAATCAGACTGACAAGGTTTTGAGATATTTACTGAATGAGCAACTGATAGAGAAACATACTGTAATCATCTGTGATGGATGAAGATACCAAGAAAACAACACCATTTAATGGTAATTATAAGTCAATTTGTTGACCGATTTCGATAATAGTTTTATTAATTTTATCAGTCATATTACGTGATTGTCAAGTTATGACAATGCTTTATGACGATATCCTGAAACTATTAAATTTAACTAGTTATAGTGTTGATTAAGGATTAGTCAGTGGAAAAATAGGTATTGTTGCTTTAGGTGATTCAAAATCATCAGAAACTTATAACTTTAAAGAATCCGAGACGCCTAATTTAATTATAAATTTCAATTTAGAAATATTCGTTTAGTGTTAATTCTAGTAGGCTACGGAGTTTTGATTTTAAACATTTGTTTAGCCAACAGCTACCTAGGGATTTAGTTATTTTACTAGTACAGTTGATAGCACCTAAATTTTTAATCTTATTATCTAAACTATGTTCGCATTTTAGGCTGCTAATATGATAAACCAATCCATAAACCCAAATACGATTAGCAACGACTATGATGGGTTTATTAATAAATGTTAAAGGCGATCCAGATGATTTCTAAATTTAGAAGAAATGGAGATATAGTGTAACGTATGTATGGGCCAGGTTAACATGCAGGTTGTTGACGTATATGACGATTTAAAAATAATGAACATGACCAGAAAATAGTTTTAAAGTTTAGACTGCTTGTGAAACTTCAGGCAGGAATATGATGCGTTATAAACATTCCATAAGGAGTTACTGAATTTAGCCTAGGGACACTTACAAATATATGGCAAAAGCAACTAGAAAACATATACATGTTAAGTACAAAAAATCATTAAGTAAAATAGTTGAACTCGCCTGGGTTATTTTTGAAAATTATATTATTCAGTGGACGACATATATAACGCCATTCGTGAGGAGTAGTAATGATCCAAAAGTATCCAGAATAAAACATGCAGTATGGCAAATAATTCCAGGGTTCTTGATGCTGTTGACGATTTTGCCACTCGCTCGGATCAGAACAACCGAATGAATTCATTTAATTGTGTGGTTGTTATTGAACGAGCCATCTAAAATGACCTTATGATTGCAGAAAACCTATAGATGAAACTCATCGTATGTTTTTGGAGAAGTGTCATCTTTGTTGTTTGGCAATGGAACTCGAAAATATGAAATTAGGCAGGCAGTGGTCAGAAGAAAAGATATTACAGGATAGTGCATAGTTTAAAACAGGATGAGGTGTTAGGTGAAGGAACACTGATAATTAGATCCCGATAACTATTTAGTCCTTGATTGCATTGTTAGTCAATGTATACTTACGCTATTTTCAGGTCATATTTGCTAGATCTTGATGTTTAAACAAGTCTATGTTGCTGAAGCATGTAAATGCTATTAAAGCTTGTTAACGAACCATCAAAGCTAATTAGTTGATATAGATGATCAACTTTTATTATCGATTGAGCTAGTAAGTTATGTGAACTAATAGATATAACATTACGATAATATATGTGACCATTAATCAAAGGACTATTAGAATAGTGGGTTTACAAAAATAAAAACCGATTGAGAAGGTTAAGGTGGAAATAAGGATTAACAATAATAGGTTGCGTTTCTTTAGTTGGGCTCACCAATGTAGAATTGTGGTCTACTATGATATTAGTAGTGCTCTAATAATAGACCTAATCCTAAATTTGTAGATTTGTCATGATATAACTGCCTAATCTATAAGATCTTACGTGGAAGTCACACCATCGACTACACCAACTCACTGTATCGTATCAATTACCAATACATGATGTAGAACAAGGTTAGGCTAGAGAAAGAACAATATATTTAATATGAATAGAAGATATAAGGTAACATTCCACAGAGACCACGCCTGCATGGCCGAGCCATGCCACTCGATCAACTCCAGTCCATTCAATTCATTATTCGCGCCTTCCCCATCGTTGGGTATTTCTCCGCGTTAAATATTGAATATCTATTTTCTGAGTAGTCTCGTGTTCACAGCTTTGTGGATTGTGTGGCTATTGTCCAATGCCAGTACATATTTTCCTCAGATTTTCAAGGAATCTCGTCAGAAATAAGTGAGTTATTAGGAAAAAGCCATATCTGGTACAATAACATGATAAATCTGATAAGCTGATTGACAAGAAACCGGTTTGGCATTTCTGAATTTTCCCACTGATGCCGTGCTCTTGTAGTCATTCGAAGACGAGTTTTAGATGCTGGAGATGAGATTCTCTGTCCGGACACGCGATCAAACAGTTATCAACATACTCATGTACGAAGTTGGAACTTCGAAAAGCGTCAACGAATAAACTCTGGAATGTTTGTACAGCATTTCTTAAACCGAAGGGCATGCGGAAAAACTCGTAGAGACCGAAAGGTGTGGTGAAAGCGATTTTAATGAATGTCATCAGCAGCCATGGGACTTTGGCTATATGCTTTAACCAAGTCGATTTTCGAAAAAACAGTTGTACCTTTCAAGGTAGCTGTCGTGAATGTGAGACAACGGGTAACGATCGGGAATAGTTTCGCGTTCAATCGCCGATAGTCACCAGTTGGACGCCAGCAGTTGCTGTCCGTTTTAGGGACCATATTCAAGGGAGATGCCGTTTGACGACCAAATGTGGCGATCGCTTTCCCAATCACCACCTGTAAGTCGAAAACTGCTTCAAGAAGTGGGTCGTTAGAGTTCTCAGGAAGAACGCTGACTTCTGCGCAAGTAACAACGGGGTAGCAAACTTTCCTCATCCCATTGTTTACGTATAACAGACGGCTATTCCGCCGGCTACGGTTGCCGGTCGGTTGGGGGGTTTTCTGTAACTTCAAAAATTTCCGTGCTAATTATGCTACCGGCACCAATCAGGTTTATCTGTCGCTCGTGATCTAAAGACAGATCGTTTTCGTGAAGTACTCCTTTGAGGAGTTTGGGATCGTCTACCCTCATGACGAGTACTAAAGCAACTTGTCAGAGTATGACAGAGTTTTCTGACAAAATTGTTTGTTAGTCTGAAGAAACTTCGGCGTTAGAAGTTCTGGTTACCTTCAGGATTCGGTTGGCAGATACAACCAGCTCGTCCACAACATTATTTCGAAATGAGACAAGAACTGCCTGCATCTGTTGAGGAAGCTTAGACAAGAAAATTTATATAAACAGGCCATTGTCAAAGGTCGGTTGGCCACTGGCCTCTCTCATTCGTGACACGTCTGATTCTAATCCATGTTGTAGATCGATATTATTGATGGGTCGGCCTTACTTTTTTCGATCAGCTAGATCTCCGCGTTCGAGAATAGCTCGTTTTAGAGTTTCGTAAGTTTTCAGTATATCACTAGTACACGTACTAGATGTGACGTACATTTTGAACTCGCGTGGTAGTGCCTTTACTAAGTCGGGGAATCGTGCACGTGGATCGATCACGCTGTGCTCGTACAAGTCAGCTTCTGCGTAGCAGAACCAAACTTTGATGTTATCTGTCAAGAATGGCATTAGTTAGAATGAAAGTGGCGTAAGAGACTTGATCTTATGTAACCTAGGGGTCTGTATGGTCATGATGAATATAGAGCATAGCAGTGAAGAAGAAAAATTTCAAAAATACTAGACAATATATCAAAGTACATAAAAACCAAAGTGAAAATGATATTTAAAGTCCCAACAGGGAATAAATTCACAGCTTTCAAATTGATGTACCAGCTCACGTTGGGCTCACTATTAAAAATGCTTCAATTATCCGGAGTTCGAAGACACCTTAACCAGTAACACCTCTTATAATCGAAATACGCCAGCCCAGTCAAATAAAAATTCGGAAGCGAAAATGTCCGAAGATACATTTGATAAGCTATCGAAATATAGAGAAGTGGTCAATCTAAGCTGGCTGGTGGTCGTAGGAGATGTATAGTACGACGTACCCACTCGTGATCTGATGCATACACATGATCGAGCGCCTTCAGTTAGGTGAGTCCATTAAAACTGATGTGGTCAGCATCAAATGCCGAAGACTTACAGAGTCATTTATTTTTTTGGGATTTATTTACCGCTAAATACATATTGCTTTAGTTTACTCATGCATTGATGGCTACATCAGCTTTTTATAAGCATTTTAAAACAATATAAAGTCACTCGTAGCGTGTTTATAATTAAAACTTATATAGATCCTCCATGCACCAGCTTCTTTCTTTCGTATTCTTCCATTGGAATATTGACCTCCCTTGACAAAATAATTATCCATACCAAAAAATCATAAAAGATGCTGTGACTTTATAATACTGATTTGTGATCGAAATTATTTTTCTCCTCTATATTGTTTGCGCACCGAATTGACTTAAGCAGTTGCGAGTTGGAAGTTTCGGTTTCGTGGTGTTTGAGGTCTATTTTCGAATGGCAGGTTGCCCTGCACAAGTGCTGCAGATTGAGCCGAAGTGTGAACTGGTATTTGAAGGTAGTTATTATAGTCCGTCATTTAAGATGATTTGCTCTCTGTGAAGTTTTAACGTAGTCCTCGATATCCATATAGTAGGGGATCAGGTGTTGTATGCTAATACATACAATTCGTATTACTTAGTTATCCGATCTCCATGTAAAGATATCAAAATGGGTCTATACATTCTTGGTTTCTGGACATTACAAATTGCTCTCAGAAACATGTGAGAGAAACAAAACTGAGAGTAGGGTTGGAGTTTTCATGATATTTTTGAAATACCATCATCCAACTTGAAGTTAACACATGAAATACATAAAATCATATTCCTTCCCCTCAGATGGGACGAAAGGGTCCCTTTATAACTGTACTTAATATCGTTTAATTCCGTTCTATCATGTTAAATTTATACATAGTATTTCCATTGCTTGTAAATACGTCTTAGTATCAAACGTGACTAATTAGGAGATAAGAAAAACTAAATTGGTTTGGACCACGACTACTACTTAAAAACCATCTTAACTAAGGTATGTGACCGCAAATGGCATCCATCTTACTGACCCCATCCAGGAGTTCTGCCATTGCCTACACAATCCGAATCAGCGCTTAATGATTCCATGGAGTGGCATTTTAATCAGGTCATCTCTCACGTTCTCCCAATTTACCGTGATACAACACAGTGGTAGCTGTTCTTGAGTCACAACTATTTGGGATGATAAGCGTCCATGGCTTCATTGATCGGTTCATACGTGGTATTTTCCGCCTACAGCATCCACTAGACAGTTGCACTGTACACAATCAATCATCTGAAGATATTGGTGTTCAAAGACTAGCCCCACATCGATGCCTGCTACCTTTATAGTATTTTTCACAATTTTAAGTAATGGAAGTAATTGGGAATATTTTCAGTGACGTGGGATTTGACTCCAGTTGGATTGTATGAATATTGTTGAAATACATATGTCGTCTATCCTCGTATATGTAATCAACTTAATCCACGTTATGTGATATTGACATTAATGTGTTAATGAAACTATGATAATTATTTGAATCAGAATGGAACAATCTTCTGGATGGATCAATTAGAAGAGTTGATATGAGGACAAGTTATCGATAAGATAATACGATTTGAGTATGTCCATGTCGTGTTGCACAGGCTATGCTGAGTGCGTCGGATTAGAGATTGAGCTGGCTTCGATGAATGGGTAACATTAGAGATTGAGTCATTTGAGTTTCTCGTCGATTAAGTTGGCCACTTAGTTTGTCCACGGGACACTTGGAGTTCTATATGTTCACCGTCTGCGCAGATTTGCAAGGCACGTATAGTTGGAAAACGGGCTCACCACTTTTTTGTCCCTAGACCTGACTCCAGTTAGATCTAGGGTTAGTAAATATTCGTAGCTTTGAAAGAGGACTTTGGTGGTAGTCAAGGTGGTTACCGATGATTTCGAGTGTGAAAGCTGCACTACTGAACTATTCACCTCAGAGGACAACACCAAGTGATGCAATACATTCCGCTTCGTAGTAAATTAGCTCTATGTAGGCTGGCGAACATTTCGTTTGTGGAGCAAGTAGAGTTGGAAAAAGTCAAGCGACCTTTTAGTACGAGTCCCATGGTTTTTCCAACTACCATCTTACCTGGGCTAAGACCTCTCATGTAGATGCTGTGATTAATATGCTTCCTACAGTCTAACCAGACTGATATGGACTTATTCTTAATCAACATTTTAAACTTGTAGCGAGTGATTGACATCCTAAAAACTTTTGAAGTGTTATTCAGGTTGTTCATAGTCACTCGTCCATTCTCTGGAACAAATACTCCTAACACGTTTTTGATCAAAAACCCGTAATTTCAACGTACTTATATTCCTGGCTTTCTGATAGCCTTTCTAAATTTTTTTTATCATGTCCCTTCATGCCTTATAGACATATTTGGCTTAATATTGTATGGGGTTACCAGTAGTAATTCCTACTATTGCTTGGATTTCGGTTCGGGTATCCCAGGAATACATGCATCACTTTTCATCGCTGCTTCAGATTCACCAAAAAGCAAATCTGTACAGACACTTAAAAAAAACTTCGTAGAGTTTTCTAGTATTTTCTAATTCTAATTTAATCAAGCCGTGATGTTGTGGTTTTAGCTTTTGGGATCAAAAGGTCACTTTAGTTTGGGCGACCGGGTGGTGTCATCAGTGCTCCTCAGAAGTGTGGTCGAAAGCTGAATACGTAAACCTGTTCCTGGCCAATGAGTTGTGTTGAAATTTATATTCATGTTTTTGGCGTCTGAATCTCACAACTCTCCAGTGTCCCAGCCAGTCTGGCTACAAGGTAAACGTGTCTTTTGTAGCGGTATCCGAAGCCTTAAACGTATTTCCCATTGACTCGGTAGCCAATTTTTGACTCAGAAATCGCTTTGGTCTTTTTCTTATCAACAACTCATTCCAATTATGTGTATTTTTTTCCTATCGAAATTCTTAATATCATTTATATGGCTTCTGTGTAGGTCCTTTCGTCGATGTAGTAACTTCTTATATCAAATTGACAAATCCTTTGGACCGAGCCGTTGGGTTTAAGATCAAGACAACAGTGCCGAAATGTTATTGTGTAAAACCAAGCAACGGATATATAGAACCTCATCAAACTGTAGAAGTTGCAGGTTTGTTTTGTGCTTGTATCTGGGGTAAATATTTATTTTTTAGTAATGCTCCAGCCGTTCAGTTACAATGCCGCAGAAAAATTTAATCATAAGTTCATGATTCAGTCTATCATTGCTCCTGATGATCCTCGTCCTGCCATGGAGCAGTTGGTATGTAATTAGCCAGAACTTAAGTATTTATTTCCTAAGTGGAAGGATGCACCTCTTAGCAAGCTCATGGATTCACGGCTCTTTTGTCTTTTGCGTTTGCCTGATGAGCTTCATGTTGAACCTAGCCGGGATTTAGTCTTCGAAGGTTATTTTCTTTGTTTTTATGTATTAACTCAGCTAGGTCCTTTTGTGAGACCTGTTACATCTATTGTGAAACTGACCAACCCTTCTTCACAGTTCGTTTGCTTCAAGATTAGCGCATCGTCCCCAGATCACTTTTTTGCCACCCCCAGTACAGGTGTTATGTATCCCCATGAAAATTTGGAGGTCTCAGGTATGATACATTTTTTCGTTACGATATTGTATAGTTGTGTTTCATCCCGATGATTTCGACTTTACAGCAAAAAATCGTGAGAGAATGTTAATTCAATCTGCCGTTTCTGCGGAAGAAGCAGATCCCAAAAAAGATCAAACGGTAGGTTTATTTTAAAAAAATTAAGACAATAGGCTTTGATTAAAGAAGGAAAGGTGACGGATTATTACCTAAAATGTGTGTTCAAAAACACAGGCATTGTAAGTTAGTTTCCGTTCTATTCTAAATATTTAGGTGGAAAGGATAGAAGCTAGCAAACAACAAACTGCGTCTTCTGTAAGTGAAAAACTTACTAACGCACATTTTTAGAAACCTGTACATGATACTGGTGCGACCCAGACGGATATCGAAAAGTTAATGGCTGAAATATCTGCTCTTCGCCAAGAAAATGCTGCACTGAAGGTAATATTATGTCCTGTAGTAAATATAAATCTGAAATTTTTTTTGTTTTCCTAAATACGATGTTTGGAAGCAGGCTTAGTAAGTATCACTTTGCAAACAATTTTCATAAACTTCAGAGTAGTCGAATTACCTTACAAACATTCAGTTGTTTAATTCAGCTACCGTTTACCACCATACACCTTGGTATCCCATTGTTATTTAGTTGTGTCAAGGCATAGTTTTTGTGGCGTATTTTTTTAAATTTCGAGACACCAGGCACATCTAATGATTTGGCTGTTCGCTTACGACGAATAAACAGAAAATTCCCCAGGCTTTTACATGTTACGGAATGTTATTTCATCCTAATTACTCCATTTATTTATTTATTTCAACACAAACGTCGGTACAAGAAGACACCAAATATACATGCTCCACACTTCGTCATTTGATTTGCGTGAGAGCTGGACTACTACCCGAGCGCCCAAACCAAGGCAGGTAGTTTTCTTATGGAGGTACTTGTGTTTGCTCTTGTCCTGGTATCATGGCCAACTAATCTAGAATTAAGCTAGGATTAAGGCATAATTTATCCAATCCATCACGAAGTATTACCTAGTATATTGGTTCAAATTGTCATACCTCATTAGCAAAGAGAAATAAAAACGTCAGACCAAATCCCAGAATGGTAAAGGTAGTAACAGTACCAGTGGTAATAGGAAAGATTAAATATTAAAGTCACGACTCGAAAGGAAAATATAAATTAATAAAATAAAAACTAAAGGTTACGGAGAATTTAGAATTTGGGGAAAGACAACGAATGGATGCACCTGCGCCATTGCAAACGATTTTGAGCCATATCATTCAAAGTCTTTAAGCACTAGTCATGATAATCACGCTGACCCCAACCAGATAGTGTATACCTGTTAATATTGCGAAGTCCAGTTGTCAGTGGACTGATGTTATGTTTTGTTTTGGTGACTTATAGCTTTTTTCAGCCCACTCCCATATCAAATAAAATTGCTTGTCAAGGTAAGGATTGTGATCGATGAAATCTAATCTAAAAACACTTATGTGTTAAATTGAACAGATCTCTACTTTTTTGTATGACTAAGGCATTTCATCGTTCTTTATCTTGTGGAAAAACCTGGTGGATTTGCACTAATGGATTCTCTTGAACTCATCCCATCAGACTCTGAACATGATGAAGAGCGAAAGCAAATCAGATCTAGGCTAACCAAAAGTCTAAGGAACGACCGTGAGCAGTGGTGGGCAACGAAGGCAAAAGAGATGGAAAAGGCGGCGGCTATAGGTAACACAAGACAGCTCTTCAGACTAATAAAAGAAACGAATTAATAAGTCAAGTGTAAGTCAGACTATCTTGGAAAAAGATGACACTTATCTGTTCTCAGCCCAGACGTTTAGAACGATGCGCGGAACAGTTTAGCTGGCCTTCAGGTAATCGACAACTACCCACCATTCCCAGACAGCGTGAATGGATAATTAAAGTAGCTCCCCCGACTCTAGTTGAAGTTCAAAAACCTATAGCTAATCTGAAACGAGGAAGGGAAACTGGTCCAGATGGATTGGCTCAAGAGGTCCTTAAGTATTGTGGTCGAATTTTAGCGATCAGGTTGGTCAATGTTTTAGCTAGAATCTGGGAGTTGGACTTAGTCTCATCTGACTGGTTACAATCACTTATTGTCCCGATACATAAGAATGGGTCAAAATCATCCTGTGACAAACATACAGGGATTAGTTCGACTAATATAGCATCTAAAATACTAGCCTCAATAATTATCGGGCACCTAACTAAGACTCATGAACTGCAAACACGTGAAAATTAGGCTGGCTTCAGACCTGGTCGTGGCTGCATTGACCACCTATTCACCATTCGTCAGGTTCTCGAACGCAGGCATGCTTGTCGGCATCCGATAATGGTGGTCTTTTTTTTACTTAAAAGCAGCATTTGACCGAGAGATTCTGTGGCAGTGTCTGTCAGTGAAAAGCATACCTCAGAAGAAGACGCTGACAAAATGCAGAATCTTTTGGTAGCACTAAGCAGCAATGCCAGGATGTTTGGAATGCGCTTCTCTCCCTCTAAATGCAAGTTGTTGCTTCAGGACTGGTCTGCGTTAACACCTGAACTAAGGATAGGGAGTGAAGTAGTCGAACGCGTTGACAATTTCACTTATCTTGGAAGTCTGATCAGCCCTAATGGGTTGGTATCGGACGAAATCTCAGCACGGATTCGAAAAGCTCGATTGGCTTTTGCCAACTTACGTCACGTATGGCGAAGGCGAGATATCCGTCTATCAATAAAAGGACGAGTATACTGCGCGGCAGTCCGTTCTGTTTTAATTTACGGCAGCGAAACATGGCCATTAAGAGTAGAAGACACTCGTAAGCTATTAGTATTTGACCACAGATGCCTTAGAAATATTGCTGGTGTCTGCTGGGATCACCGGGTAAGTAATAGTGAGGTTAAACGCAGGGTATTAGGAAATGATGGTAAATCAGTTGATGAGGTTATGAATCTTCATCGACTGAGATGGTTGGGCCACGTGTTACGTATGCCTGAACACCGATTACCACGACGTGCAATGCTATCCGGTATTGGAGATGGTTGGAAGAAAGTTAGGGGCGGCCAAACCAAAACGTAGCATCAGTGCTTGTAGTCACTAACTTCTAGTCTGAGCCATGCTGGTAGATGCAGACTACTTGGTTGCGATCCGTGTGACTACCGAAACCAATGGTTGGAGACTGTTGGTGACATGGCTCAGAATCCATCACAATGGCTTAGTTGTATACACTCTCTGTCGTCCCTTAAACAATGATATTAAAAATGCTTCATATCTTTCTTTCTGTACTATATCCTTATATGCAATCTTTCTATTATACATTGCTACCATTAGAGTAACTACTTCTATAAACTAGATGTCCATCCTATCGTGTTAATGAGTTATGGCTACTTGAACTGATGCATTTATGTACCTGGTTCTACGTTGTAGCCGACTGACGGAACTGGATTTTTCCGTTTGGTCCGAGTGGAAAGTAACTTTTCCACAGTGCTCAACCAATGAGAAATTTCTTTTCTCTATATATCGTAAATCTCTATGCTTCAGACAAATTGTGGTAAGAAATTATGAATTGGATGCTGTTACTAGTTAAAAATGCTTTAACGTGTAAAGCCATTAAGTCTCTGAAGAGGTATGGCCTTCACACAATTATCAAATATCAGAAAAATTCTAATATGAATAATTTGCCTAATAATTAATTAAGTTAAAACTCTTGACTCGGTACTTGAGCACTCATCTGTACAATTTATTTAAAACAGTGAAACCATCATCTACCATCTCTTTTCGTGTTAACTTATTCGAGGGCTTTTTAATGAGCTAAACTGAATGGATTGTTACAAACCCCACTACCTAACAATACATATCATAAATAACAAACCCTAAAGATAATTCACGTTTATATCCGATTGGATCAATTTTTCTCCGGTGTTATGGTTTACTTAATTTGATAACAATATGACTCAGGTAGTAGAAGTAGTTTGTGTTGTAGTAGATTTTAAAAGATGAAACCATTAATCGACGACTGACTGAGTATTTAAATATGTTAGAAAACTGAAACAATTATTATTCATTTATAAAGTATCCAGTCGAAATACTTAACATACAACAAATGAATGATCAAACTGGAAAATAAAGGTCACAAGACACGAAAAGACAATTGACTCTTGCCCCACTGCAACAATTTTATTCTGATGTTATACTAAAGACAGTTAATCATCAACGCTTCTTTTACTAGTTGATCGCTTTGCCTTCGAAAACAGTTTGACAAAGATGTATATCTCAATTACTTTTATATGGAGTCCAGTATTATTGTTATGTTTTCAGCTTGTCACTTCCAAATTATATCCAAACTAATACACAGCAGTTTTCAACTGAAAATAAACAAAGGTATGACTGGAATAACATACATGTCTAGTTTATATTAGGGTTTTTTGTTGTCTTGATTTATTTGCATATTTCATATTTATTGTGTATATATACTCAGAGTTACAAATTATCTTGTATGAAATCGTCTGTGTTGACTTCTGTCCGGAGACTATCATCCGGTATCTTGTAGACATAATTTCGTATAGATCTTCATATACTTCAAATGAATAAGTAAATGAAGTTACCAAATTAAGTCTGATTATTGTTTTTACTGACATCCTTAAGTTGATTACCTGGTTAATGATAATAAGTTTAATATAATGTTACACTAGTCCAAATGAATGTAATTAATCTTGATCTGTGAATGTCTTATGGTTTCGTGAAGGCGGGAGACAACATGTGTAGATAAATTAACAGCTAGTTGATTATTTAGTTTTTAACTCATAACTTTGTCTCATGGTGTAGCTTCATAGAAAAGGTATTATAACTTATTTAAATTCATCTTTTGTTACCTGAAACATATAGAGTAGTAGTGTGACAACAAATGTCTTGATTTTTTAAAATCATCTATTATTATTTATTTATTTTCCAATTCATGGCTTGTAACTGTTCATAGGAATCGGATCTCCATTTACGACGTACAGCAGCTATCTCAGATACATGTCGAATGCCTACCGAATCTGGTGCTGGATCAATGCCTACCAGTGGAAGCCGTCATCATAATCAAGCCAGAGCTGATACTTTTAGTAACATCCCACCGATTTTATATTTAATCACAGCTTTAATCATTGGTCTCTTTGTGGGTCGCTTTGTTCTGTAAATGATCTGCAAACTTACAACTATAGTTATGCTGAATCGTTGATAATAGTAATAATTCTTATCATTATCATTGCGTGAAATTTCTTCAAAATCCGTTCATATGCTTTCTCAGACATCTGTTTTTTCTCAGTTTGTATGTGTGTTTGTGTTTATCTTTGCTATTATACATTTCTGTATTGACAAAAGATTAATACTATTTGTTCTAGTTAGTTGTTCAATATTTTATTTAACATTCTTCATGCTAAAAACTATTCCAACAAACTTTCATAAAAGTTTTCAAATGAATTATAATACTCATCGAGACATGTGTAAACTTAAAAAAGGTGGATACTTGTTTTGATTTGCTTTGAGATTATTACACTTTTTGTTGTTTTTTTTTCTTCTTCTGTGGTTAAATAGAAAACCGAATAATATATTATGTATTAAAAGTGAAAAACAAAAAGGGTAATTAATCATGTTATTAAAGGGTATGTTTATATCACTAAATTTGTTATATTTATTGTGATGTGTTGTGTATTTGTATGTATCTTGCTTCACTGTTCCAATTAATTAGTTATTAAATCTGAGGTGTAATATCCTGCAAATGCCCGATCTCTTCAAGTGAACCACTTTTTGTGTAAATTTTATTTCTTATTGTTCATATGGATCAGGTGACTTGGGGGTGGGCGGCACGACTGCATTTTATTCCTTGAGTTTCAGACCCACATCATGGACCATCATACGTAGGTCATTTGGTTCGAATTTGTTATATCCTAGTGAGGATTAAATTACGAGTAACTTCTGAGACCTAATAATGGACTAATATTATCTATATATTTTTATTCTATAACTATTCAGTAATTAGATTATGTATATCTATATTCCTCTTATTATAAGCTTCGTTTTGACCTATAGATTATTATTGTACGATTTACTGTCCCTATGTTATACTCAGTTTATTAATTACTGTCTCCCACGTTCACAGCTACTTTTTGGCTTATTTGTGTATGAATGTTACTTCCTATTTTATGGTGCGATGAGATCTGTTCAGCTGGTAAATAAACCAAGTATGTTTGCAATAGATGATTCGCATAGTAGGAGCTGTTAATGGTGTTCTGGAGTCAACTGGACGGGCTTAGCGAACAAAACATCAATAAGGACGCTAGGCTGCTTATACCGGTTGAACTTCATTTTGATTGATAAGTATGATTAACGGTTTATTTATTTACGTCTATATTTACTAACTGATATAATCTTGTCACTTCCTGATTGATCCTTTAAGCTTCATTATGGGTTCGAACTATTCATACTTGTAAGGATGCCTTAGCTTTTTGGTTTTTCTATACAACTAGTCTGGTGAACAGTTATCCGGTTAAATTAAACTAAATAGAGTGATTAATAATTTAAATTTAAACTCATCAAAGCTAAGTATGCTAGAACTCCCGTAGAACTGCCAAAAGAACAATTATGCAAAGATTTTTTTTAAAAAAAACTTCAAAGTTCATCCACAATTCATATAATGTGGGATTGAATCAGTTCGAAATTAAAGGTTCATCACTTAGATTCATTCTAATGGTAGATATTGAATAGAAATGATACTTAGGCTCTGAGAATTAATTTAACAATTCCTGAGACTTTTATGTCATGGTATACTTTTATTATTACCAAATTTCTAGTCGAATATTTTTTATTTTATCTCTACATAAAACGATTATTTTTCACACATTAATTACGTATTTCCTTGAGTATAATTATTTAAAAGTTGAATTCGACTCGGGTGACAAACACACCAGAGTTTATCTAAAATTAAAGTACTAACAACAACGTGAATAGGCGGTTGTATCACCAAGTTGAGAGGATTTCTGCTATTCTCTGTTCTCTATAAATCATTAATTCCACTTTTCAAAATTTATTTATTATTTTCTAACTGAATTGTATGTTGGTTTGAATTTCTTATATCTTTTAATTGTAATTACTTACTTACTTGCGCCTGTTACTCCTCGTGAAGGAACATAGGCCGCTCACCAGCATTCGCCATCCAACCCTGTCCTGGGCAATCCTTTCCAGCTCCTTCCAGCTGTTAATCATCCTTTCCATACTTGCTTTTATTTCCCGACGTAATGTGTTCTTTGGCCTTCCTCTTTTCCGCCTTCCTTCAGGATTCCAAGTTAGGGCTTGTCTCGTGATGCAGTTTGACGATTTGCGTAGTGTATGTCCTATCCATTTCCATTGTCTCTTCCTAATTTCCTTTTCATCTGGAAGCTGGTTTGTTCTCTCCCACAAAAGGCTGTTGTTGATGGTATCCGGCCAATGGATGTTGAGTATCTTGCGTAGACAGCTATTTATCAATACTTGCACCTTCTTGATGATGGTTGTTGTAGTTCTGCAAGTTTCAGCTCCATACAGTAGAACTGCCTTGACATTCGTATTCAAGATTCTCACTTTGATATTGGTTAAAAGTTGCTTTGAGTTCCATATATTCTTCAACTGTAAGAATGCTCTCCTTGCTTTGTCAATTGTAATTACTTGATAATAATCATCAAATGCTCTCACAAATTCTAGAATTCAGTATTCAGTGGTAGTCATTCTTTATTGTTTAGAGCTGTTATATGTCCATTGTTTGATATACTTAACATGTAAAGCAGAAACTAGTTTAATGAAGTAGAATTAATGTTAGTGATGTCGTGCAGCTTGTATGTTTCATCATACTTAAATATGTAATTGGTTTTCCGAGTTTCGCTAATTATAAGAAGCTGTCAAATTTTCGGGTGGGACCCGAAAAAAATAACGGGGTTTAAGATTCAGTATTTTCTCGATAGGAAGACTGAAATGTCGACATTGGAGGCAAGATATATTGTGTAATGTTTTGGACTTCCAGTCCAGTTACAGATAAGCAACCAATCAACTGTCTAATAACTGATAATTTATTAACTATGACATCATCTGTATAGTAATATTGTGTAGGGATTTTCATGCTATTTGCATATAATTTGCGATCGCGTAAAAAGTGTGAGTAATCACATTGTCCAGTTGTTCTCGGAATTATGCTCAATGGCTGAGTTTAAATTTTTAAAAGCTTTCGAGTGGTAAGAAGTCGTGAACTGTAGTTTGTATCACATAATAAAATTAACAGTAATGTTGAATGCTTACAAAATAGTATTTCGTGGAAACTTTACTATTACTAACTGGAAAGCGTTAATGATATTTACCATCTTATCGATTTAGTCAACCTTATAAAAATAAAACGAATGATGGCCCCCGGGTGAATGGGAATAATCAAAGTTTATATAAACACACTTCTATGTCGATGGTCTAGGTAGCACGAGCGTTTGTACAAACTTCTTTTAAATGTAAAGATTAGATTTGTGAAAGTGGATCCCGATGGCTTTAGTAATATACGAAAGATGAGCTCGTGAACCGTGTTGTAACTTTAATAGAAAATGGCGGATAACCTAAAAACTTCATTCAGGTCAACTTGACATTTTTTTGTCCATTAATTGGATAAGAATAGAACACTAAAACTCTTGACTGCCCTCTACGCAACCAAGACGAACACCATTCCGCTATGCGATGATGGACTTTCCGAACTGTACGCCTTAACTGGCTCCACAGGAGCAATCGAATTGATAGATACACTTCGATGTGGCGGATTCAGACTACATGTTTTTATTGGTGGCTTTCACCAAACGATCGTAGAAAACCGGACTCAGTTTAGCATTAGTAAATATTTCCTGCGCTGCATTTCCTAACCTTTGAGTTATTATTCACTCTAGTTCCATTTAAGATAGGTGGTTCCAAGAACAGTACTGTATGCAGAACGGTTATCAACATCGGTCTTGTTTTTGTATCCTACATGTGTTTGTTGATAAACTTCTCTGGATAACCATTCTTATTAAGCGGGTTGCGGACATTATCCAATTCATTTTCAAAAGCATCAAAATAAATCATTTTCGGACGGTTTAGGATTCTGTTGTGACTCTAAGCCCGGCTAGCTATCACGTGGTTTATTCGCCAATCGAATTACGGCTTATTCAATCTTAGTACTGTGCTAAACCAATGACTTTCGACCGGTATGAGTGTCCTTATCGGTCTTTTGTTCGTGTAGCCCGCCCACAACAATAACAGGTCCCACTATAGAAATCATTTATTTCAAACATACTTGGTCTATATACCAGCCAAATAGATCTCATCACACCATAAAGTAGGAAATAACATTTATACAAGGTCAAACCAAAAAGTGGTTGTGAACGTGGAAGACTAATCAATAATCTGAACATAACTTAAGAACAGTAAATAATATAATAATCTATAGATCAAAATGAAGCTTATAATGAGAGGAATATGCATATACATAACGTAGTTACTGAACAGTTATACAATAGGAAAATATATGTATAATATTAATCCACGAATGTTCAATAGGATATAAGAGATTCCCACTAAATTTCTTTAATATTTGATCGGTACAGTACTATATACATGAGTAGATTGTCCAATTGCAGATTTTCTATGTATCTCGAAACTGTTTTATTGCAGGTATAAGAATTAAAGTTTCTTTATGCCTCTCTATCAGTACACTGCAAATAAAATACACAGTTTCCAGTATGGTAATGTTAGTAAGTAAAGGCGATACATCTGATGATATCAAAGTTATTTTTGACCAACAGATTTTCTACTACCAATAAATTCAAAGGAATGCTTGACACTATGCTTAACAATTTCTTTGTGCAACGCTTTGAGGATCTTTACTAACTATTTTTCCTTAGTATGATAAACTGAATTATTCATATCTAAAAAGGGTTGAATGGTTAAACCAGTGTTGTGTATTTTTAGAAGACCACATAGCCTTGATGTTATCGTCGCCGTAGATTTCAACATTCCGAACACTTCAAATAAAACGTTTAATGTTTCACTGAGTCAGCAAGTCGTTTCTAAATCGTATCTGCGAAATCATTCTTCACAACTCTACGACTAATCCTCCTCATTTATCTTTATCACCACACACCACCTATGATAATGATTGGAGTTCACAAAATGTTACTCCTGAAATCACACTTTTAATGTTCGAACCTTGTGTCAGATAGGATGATAGACTACTTTAGCTAGGATTCTAGAATCTTGAGCCATCAATGCAAGCTGCGTCTCCAAAACGCGCAGGATTTGAGTACGGTCATTTATTTGACCTCTCGTTGTCACTATGTTGATGCAGATCGGTTAACCTTATGTGTATCTGGAGATCGCACTGCGATCTCCCTTGGCCTCGTTAGTGTAGGCATAGCATTAAGTTCTAAAATAGAACATGTTCTCTTAGGCTGGATTTCAGTAGGCAGTCGCTTGTTCGCTGTCTGACTAAACGAGACAGTAAGAACTCGATAAGACGCCTTTGCCTCTTCGTTGTTTCAGTGTACGCTCCCACTATTCGCAACTCAGGTGAACCTAACGATGGAATTTATGTGAAGCTTCCCAACCTTCTACAAGAAGTTAAACGCTCCAATGTAGGAGAAGTGGCAGGTGATTTTCATGCTTATTAGGCAAACTTGACCAAAGTGAAAGACATTTAGGTGGGTCTTACGATGTCGCAGCTCGGTGGACAGATAATGGCGACCATCTGCTGCAACTGTGCTCAGATATTCGTCTTATTCTAGCGAACACCAACACAAGGATAAACAGAGTCTGACGTAGCGACCCCCAAAATCAACCTAATGATGCATTTAAAAAGATCGCATTGCCATCAGCCGATGTTCGAGGCTCAATAGAAGACTGTTGCTCATTCCTGAGCACATGTCTAGACTCAGATCATGGTCTAGTTCGAGTAAGTGCTTGCCTGCGTCTTGCTGGATGTAGAGAGGCCACAACCAGATAACCCCTTAAACTTCAACCTAATGATGATTTATTCCTTGGCCTTAAGGCGGTGTTAGACCTTGCTGATCGTGAGGTTCTGTGGAAGTCTTTCATTGGAAGGTATACCAAAGCAGTATATTGGCCTTGTACAGACTCTCTTCTCGAACACTACTGGTCAAGTCAGAGCTTATGGCGAACTGTCATCGGAATAAGTTCGCTTTCCTGATTTTATTTAACTTTATCATGGACATGCTTCTAGATATAACACTTTCACCTTGTGACTTTTCACGGATCGATTTCTACCAGGCGATTCATAATTTGACGTGGAATATGTAGTTGATATAATCCTATTTTGTGCAGACGTTGACGAAATGCTGAGTGTTCTGATCATATTAAGCAACAATTCCAGCATGTTTAGGATATGATCCTCTCCCTCCAGTTACTAAATGTTGCTTTATGATTGGCTTGGATCAGTGCC